TGACATGCCAGTCGGAGGCTCTCTCAACTGGGACCCAATATAATCCACCCAGTGCTCGTCTGATGGGTAAAGGTGGCCCCAAGCCCGAAGGAACTGACTCACCTGCAGCATAAAGAAGGCAAAATTGAACGTGGTATCTAGCAACTCTCTCGGTTGCTCCAGCCCTGGAGCGACAAGTTGCGGCCCTGGTGGGCTGGCTGGGCCAGCAGGCACTGTGGGAACCCCTGGTTGTGCTGGCACCTGCTGTCCGGGCTGTTGCTGCTGGCCTGGGGGTATCGCTGGAGCTGGCAGGTGCTGTAGGAACCCCCGGTGGTGCTGGCACCTGCTGTCTGGGCTGTTGCTGCTGGCCTGGGGGTATCGCTGGAGCTGGCAGTTGCTGTAAGTGCAACGTCTGCTGCACGGTAGTGACGATGAGGTGAGGCAGGTCCAGCACCATGTCATGCATCTCCCACCGTAGCTCTTCATACTGGGCTTGCATCTGGAGTTTCACACTCTCCAGCTGCTCCTCAGCCCTTTCCTCATACCGTCTCCCGCTCTTGCTCCATGGGAGGGAGGTACTCGTACTGGCTGGTACTTCTGAACCGCAGAGTCATCATCCACGACACCTGGGTCTCTGTAGAGAAATGGGCCCAAGAGTAAGGGTCCCACCACGGCTTCTCCTTGCCAGTGTCATCACCACCATCACATGCCCCTGTGGTGATCGGGGTCGCCGTCATGACAGGGATCTCTTCAGCCATAGTAGTAGCCATAGGAGCACCCCCATCTTCCTCATCGGCCATGGTGGGGTACGGGGTCAGGAACTATGGTCGTTCTGACACTCTGTCACAGCCTTGCAACAATCAGTAATCAACAACATTCCTTCAAAATGGTTCAAGTTTATTGATTCAGTAAAGGCAAGTCATCTGTTTAGTGTCAGAAATGAAGGTAAAGGCGGGAAGGGGGCAATTATATCAGGTTCAAAGCGGGGTCTCCTGATGGAGCAAAGCCAATCAGGGAAATAGCCTTAGTGTGCCTAAACTAATGGGTTCATATTCCCAAAGAAACAGCATAGCAGACACCAAGGTCAGGGAGGCGATAAAAAAGAGAGCTGGGAAAGGAAACCTCAAATGCCAAACCTAGAAGACCCAAATCAACCCCCCCCCCACCAGTCGCCATAGCAGCAGTATAGCTGACACAGGGGAGGACAATTCATGAGTCACTGCTCACTTCTTCAGGTATCTAGATCAGTTTCTATCCAGAGTATCTCTCAGCGGACTTAAACTGCATGTTTTAATAAGAACATAAGAGATGCCAGTGTTGGATCAGGCCAAAGGCCCATCTAGTCCAACACTCTGTGTCACACAGTGGCCAGAAATACCAGGGGCCATCAGGAGGTCCACCAGTGGGGCCAGGACATTAGAAGCCCTCCCACTGTTGCCCCCCCCAAAGCACCAAGAAGACAAAGCATCACTTGCCCCAGAGCCCCTATCTATACCTTGTGGCTAATAGCCACTGATGGACCTCTGCTCCATATGCTTATCTAATTCCCTTTTGAAGCCGTCCATGCTTGTAGCCGCCACCACTTCCTGTGGCAGTGAATTCCAAGTGTTAATCACTCTTTGGGTGAAGAAGTACTTCCTTTTATCCGTTCTAACCCGACCGCTCAGCAATTTCATGGAGTGCCCACAAGGAGTTCTTGTCTTGTGGGAAAGGGAGAAAAGTACCTCTTTCTCTACCTGCTCTTTCCCATGCATAATCTTATAAACCTCGATCATGTCACCCCTCAGTCGTCGTTTCTCCAAGCTAAAGAGCCCTAAGCGATTTAACCTTTCCTCATAGGGAAAGTGTTCCAACCCTTTTATCATTCGAGTTGCCCTTTTCTGCACTTTTTCCAAAGCTATAATATCCTTTTTAAGGTGTGGTGACCAGAACTGCACACAGTATTCCAAATGAGATCGCACCATTGATTTATATAGGGGCATTATGATATTGGCTGATCTGTTTTATTTATTGATTTATTTCTGGGATTTCTATCCCGCCCTACCCAGAAGCTCAGGGCGGCTAACAACAGTTTTAAAAGTTTATAACAATAAAACAGTAATATATACAGATAAAATTTTGTGCCTCAAATCTACATACATTATACACAGATCTATCTTCATTATACACAATACACAGCAGCCCCCATTTGCAGTTAGCGTTCTTAATAGCGGAAGCGCCAGGAACAGTCGTCTCACGTAGTTTTTCGGGCGACATCTACCCTCCACCCCAGGGTACAGTAGATGGATGGTAACATTGCGGTGGTGGTATAGCGGCGGCAGCGGCTCCTACCCAAAGGCCTGGTGGAAGAGCTCCGTCTTACAGGCCCTGCGGAACTGTACAAAGTCCCGCAGGGCCTGGATCTCCTCCGGGAGCTCATTCCACCAGGTAGGAGCCGCCACCGAAAACGCCCTAGCTCTGGTCTGGGCCAACCTCACAGCTCGGGGGCCTGGAACTTCAAGGTGATGGAGATTCCCCGATCTCAGTGCTCTTGAGGGAACATACGGGAAGAGACGGTCCCTTAGGTAGGCCGGACCCTGGCCATTCAGGGCTTTAAAGGTGAGCACCAGCACTTTGAAGCGAATCCGGTATGCTATTGGCAGCCAGTGCAGCGCTTGCAGCACCGGCCGGATGTGGTCTCGACTGGAAAGACCCATCAACAGCCTAGCTGCAGCATTCTGCACTAGCTGCAGCTTCCAGATCTGCGACAAAGGCAGCCCCAAGTAGAAAGCGTTACAGTAGTCCAGCTTCGAGGTTACCGTCGCATGGATCACTGTGGCCAGGTCCTCACGGTCAAGATAGGGAACCAACTGCCGAGCCAGCCGCAGATGATAAAAGGCTGACTTAGCAGTGGCCGCCACCTGGGCCTCCATTGTTATTCCTCATCCCACCAAGTTTCAGAAATACCCACAATGTCTATTTTTCCCTCCGACACCAAGCACTCCAACTCCCCGATTTTACCTCGGACACTTCTAGCATTTGTATAGAAACAGCTGTAATTTCCCTTACAAGTTAAGCCTGCATCCTTCCTCTTGCTATCTCGAGTCGTTGTCCGGCAGTCCATGTCACCAGCCATGGCCTCTGTGGACAATTTCAATCCACCTCCCTGTAGAAAAGCAACAGGTACCCCCTCATCTCTCTGAGATGAGCCAACCCGAACCAGAGACTTTTCATCTCCTGTCGGCTTTCCCCCAATATTCAGTTTAAAAGCTGCTCTGCCACCTTTTTGATTTTAAGTGCCAGCAGCCTGGTTCCTTCTCGGGACAAGTGGAGACCGTCTCGCCTGTACAGCTCCCTCTTGTTCCAAAAAGTATCCCAGTGCCTAACAAACCTGAACCCTTCCCCCCTACACCATCGTCTCATCCACGCATTGAGACTCCTGATCTGTGCCTGTCTCTCCGGCCCTGCGCGTGGAACAGGTAGCACTTCTGAGAAGGCTACCTTGGAGGTCCTGGACCTAAGTTTCCTGCCCAGCATCCTAAATTTCTCCTCCAGGACCTCACGACTGCATTTCCCCACATCGTTGGTGCCGACATGCACCACGACCACTGGCTCCTCCCCAGCACTATCTACCAGCCTATCTAAAACACGCGTAATGTCCGCTACCTTTGCACCAGGCAGGCAAGTCACCATACGGTCAGTACGCGGGTTCGCCACCCAGCTGTCTACCTGCCTAAGGATCGAATCACCCACTACCAAGAGCCCCCCTCCCACCCTGCTCAGGGATGGTTCCTTGGTGCAAAAGGAGAGCCGCTCACCAGCTGGGGAAGAGGTCCCTTCTGAGGGCACATTCCCCTTATCCTCAGCATGGTGCCCTGTTTCCCCTAGACCCTCATGCTCCCTGACAGCAGCGGGGCTGCCAGATCCAGAGTGGGACGTAGCTAACAAGTCCCCGAGAGTCTTTTCTGTGCGCCTAGCTGACTGTCTCTGCTTCTCCAGGTCAGCCACCTTGGCCTCAAGGGAGCACACACGTTCCCTGAGAACCAGGAGCTCCTTGCACCGAGCACACACCCAAGACTTCTGTCCAGTGGGCAGATAGTCATACATGTGACACTCCGTGCAAAACACTGGATAGACCCCAACCCCCTGCTGACATTCTGGCTTCATAATTCTTTTAAAATAAGTAAATATAATCCCCCTTTTAAAACCCTTGGTATTTATGTGGTTTCTCCTTGTCGAAGTCAAATTACTTTATGGGAAAGACAAAGAGCCTATGGCCTTGGCTTTCTGGCTCTTCTTGGGCTTCTTACCGAGCCCCTAGTCTAAGTGTCCCTTTGGCTCGTGCCTCTGGCATGGTACTTTCTTAAATACTGAATTACAGTCAATCCCAGTCAAACAGTGCCCCTTCCTCTCCCTCTCTCAATCAGCCAGGACTGTGCAACAACCCTAAGCGCTTCCACACACTGCTAAACACAGTTTTCCCACACAATGTCCTCAGCTGAATCCCCTCAGCTGAAAGCAAGTTAGAAGAAAGCCACTCAACCCTCTGGTAGCTCTCTCTCCTGCTCCTGCTCAGAGCTCAGCTGGGTCTCCTGCTGGATTTAAACCGATGTAATATGGATTACGACCACTAGAGGGAGAATACACGCAGAACTGTGGGGGGGACAACACCCCAAAGCAACAGGAGCACAGGGGCAAGGAAACTGAGAATGCGGAGAAGTCCGTGTTTCCCTATACCTGGCTCCACCTCTGCTATGTGGGTACTTTTGATGTTATCTGTTTGTGTAACATGATTAATTACAAGACGCTCTTGAACTAGTCTAATGAGTTGGTAGGAAGGCCCGTGTTGCTTTCTTTGTATAAAGCTTTTGAGAAATGCTGAGTGGGGAGGAACCTGCTAAAGCAAGAAAATTGAACCTCATTCACACATGAAGTCTCCTCCCCTAATACAGTCTGTATCTTCTTGCTCACACTCTAAATGCTGCTTCAGTCTGCATTCTCCTAACTGCTTTACAAACCCCAGGAAAACTGCTGTGCTGAAAATGAACATGAAATTGGTCTGTGCGCTCCTAGCTACATGCATAGCAGTGGCTTTAATCTTAGGCTGGATATTCCGAACAGGACGCGAGAAGCCCCCCTTTTGTGAGAGCCAGCACCAGGATTTGTGCTTGAAGGACGGAGGCCAAGATGGGCACAGCTTGGTCTTTGCTGACCTAAGTCCAGAAGAGATGGTCCAAGTGAAGAGGTACTTATGGAACAACCTCGGAGTGCCTCTAGAGGAGCCCCCCCTAGCCAAGCCATCAGACAACTGCCTTTATTCCATTGTTCTTCATCTTCCCCCCAAGGCAGAGGTGCTGGAATTCCTGGATCACCAAGGGAGAAAACCCACACGACAAGCTCTGGCTGTGGTCTTTTTTGGAAATCAAGAGGACCCAAACATCACTGAGTACGTGGTGGGTCCTCTTCCAGAGCCAACATATCACCAAGACATCACAGTGCAGAAGTACGGAGGGAAGCTGCCGTATTACCGAAGATTTTTTTTTAGCGTTGACTTAGATAAAGTCAATGTTTTCTTTGTTGATTATAATGGAACTAACCTTCTGGGGCTCCCTGCTCTGCCTCCAGGATTTAAATCAGGAGACAGGAAAGTCTGGATGCGTCTTTTCCAGAATGTTGCTGGGTTTTATTTGCATCCGGTTGGATTGGAGGTGCAAGTGGATGTCAGCAGCTTGAATGTTTCTGAGTGGGAAGTGGTGAATGTGTTCTATAATGGACAGTACTTTAGGGACATGGAAGAGCTTGAAAGAGAATTCAACAAGGGGAGAGTTAGAGTGTCCAAAGTAAAGAAAACTCCTCATAATGGGGGGTACTCATCACTGAAACCAAGGGTCCCACACAAGTTGCTAGGCCCTTTGCAATATGAACCCCGTGGTCCACGGTACTGCATCAGGGACAACCAGGTCACCTTCATGTCTTGGAGTTTTGCCTTTGGAATGGAAGCCAACAGAGGCCCACGTATCTTCGACGTTAGGTTTCAGGGTGAGAGGATAGTCTATGAGTTAAGTGTACAAGATGCATCTGCCATCTACGGGTCCAACAGTCCAGCAACAATGGTTACCAGGTTAATGGACCTAGGTTTGGGCTTTGGGAAGAGTGCTGTCACCCTTACCCGGGGCGTTGATTGTCCTTACGTAGCGACCTATTTGGATGGGCACTATCTACTTGATTCCGCACAACCTATCACCCACAAAAACTCTCTCTGCATCTTTGAACAAAATGCTGAGATTCCAGCACGACGCCATTATGAGGACCACGTAATCTCTGAATTTTATGGAGCATTAGCTGATTCAGTTCTAGTCTTCAGGTCCATCTCTGTAATGGGTAACTATGACTACGTCTGGGATTTTGTGTTTCATCAAAATGGAGCTGTTGGCGTCAGGGTGTATGCCACTGGGTACATCCAGACTTCTTTCTTCTTTGGCAATGCTGCAGATTTTGGGAACAGAGTTGAAGATCTGACACTGGGAGCAATTCATACTCACAGTATTCATTACAAAGTGGACCTGGACATCGGTGGTACGTATGTTTTTGTTCCCCCCAGGAAATGTAGCCGTGGCTACACCTACTTAATGAAGCTTACAGCTGTATTTTCTGGTCTTTAATGTGTGTCCCTAAATCTGTTAGGGGATTCCCATATCCACAGTTGTTGAGCTCCTAATTAATGTTACTGTTTATGATGAGAATGAGAAGGATTTTTGTGTCTTGGGAGGTGGCATAGTTCCTGTAGCAAACGTCATCATACCTTGCTGAGTCTTCTTTGTTTGCTACCACACCATTGTATAACTGCCCTGCTAAGATCAAGTGCCACCGCTGGAATGCATTGTGGGCTTGGTGACATGGCGGGCGGTATGCGAGCGGGTTCCCCTCTCAAGCTTGGAGCCTCCCCGAGGAAAGAGGGTGCAGGGGCTCCTGAGGGAATGGGCCACTTGTCCGTGATTGCAGTCCGCAGCCTTGTCATCAGCAGGAGGGGACAGGCCAGTCGACAGACAGCGTACTATCACAAGACAACCTGTGTGCCATGGCAGTGTTGTCATCTTGACTTGAGGGAAATTGCGGGGTGACTATTATTGTTATTATTTTTTTTAAATTATAACATGGCCCCTAAGTGGGCTCTTGCTTTCTGCCCCATTCGCAAGCCTCCGTCCCCAGAACTAGAAGGTCCTTTGGCCTTCCTCTACAGTAATGTCCATTGGTTGGCTGGGATGCAAACCAATGTTGGGTGGTGATCTAGGCACTCGTTGACGGGCCTGGATGAACAGGGAGTTCCAGGCTACCCTTGCCTTTATGGCTGAGATGCAGTGTTGCGTCTCTGAGCTGAAGGTTTATTGTGATGCTGTGGGCCAGGCCAGGCGGTGTGTTCCGACCTGTCTAGCACTCAGCTTGAAAGTCCTGTGGTTTGTGCAGCCAGCTCCCTGCTTCTCCTCCCTCCCATGGGTTCGAAGGCTTCAGGGTCTCTTCATCTCCTTCATTCTGTCCCAGCCTGTTTCCTGATTCCAAACATTCTGGTCATGTGGCGACAGCGTGTTTCTTTATCTTCATCTGGTTTGTGGTTGTTTTTCCTGTGCAAAGAAAGAATCTGGCAGAGCAGGGAAAAGAAGGGCGCAATAGAAGGCGCAGATCTGTTTTGGTTGTTCCCACCCTCTTGTCTCATGTAACTGCTATCTAGGGGTGCAGATCTTGCTGCTTATCGTCCTTGGAAGAAATGGGTCTTCTGGGTGCTTAACAAACAAATTCATCCACCCCTGAAGCTGAGCCTGGCTTTCTGTAGGCTTCGCCCTCAGCAGAGCACTGTGGGTCCCAACCGATAGAACAACGGAGCTTATTTTAATTGAAGATTTTCTCTGGACTGTTAAGAATGCAGATTCCAAGATAAGGAGGGGAGAAGAGTACCTAATAAGACACTAATCAGTTCTGCGTTCCGGGGAGCCTTGGTGCTTGAAGTAATGCATCAGATTTATTATGTTGCGTTTAGCAACATGAGAGTTTTATATAGAGACGCTCATGAGTAAGCCTTTATGATGTAACTTGTTGCATGCTCGGTTTGAAGAGTAGCCTAGGAGCAGTTTTTGTTTAGCAATTCTTCATATCGTCTGTACTGTGATTGTAATTTAAAGGAACATTGTGTTTAGCGACTTGGAGAGTTCTCTATAGGAACAGTGAAGTATTCAGCATGGCGAGAAACATCTTTTACAGCGATAGATTAGTGAGGAAGAATCATTGCAATGGCACGGAAAACTGGCCAGCCGTAGAATCATATTGTGGAAGATGTATTAAGCTCTGCAGGATACACTTACAGTCAGATGTGTTAAATCAACAAGACTATCATAAGAGACTTTTCATATTTGGGACATTGTTCTTTATCTAATACTAGCAGTGAAAGCAATACAACGGCCTGTAGAAAGATGTGATGTGTAACCGAGACAGTCACAAATAGGCTGGAAGCATGGCCGGAAACATCTTTTACAGCGATAGATTCTTGAGCCGTAGAATCATATCGTGGAAGATGTATTAAGCTCTGCAGGATACACTTACAGTCAGATGTGTTAAATCAACAAGACTATCATAAGAGACTTTTCATATTTGGGACATTGTTCTTTATCTATGATGAGGCTGGCTTCCCTTTGGGGCTGCCAGCCACCAGGTGGGGCCTGGGGATCTCCCCCTTTTACCACTGATCTCCAGCTGACAGAGATCAGCTCCCCTGGAGAACATGGCTGCTTTGGAGGGCGGACTCTCTGGCATCGTACCATGCTGAGGCCCCTCCCCTCCCCAAACCCCACCCTCTCCTGGATCCACCCCCAAAGTCCCCAGGTATTTCCCAACCTGGACCTGGCAACCCCACTTCCCTGATCCTTGAAAAGAATCTGGGAGTGTGTTCTTCATGGGTATTCTGCTGTGTTTTTTGTTTTTTGCCATCCTGTCGCAGCTGAGTTGGGCAGGGCTCTCCAAGTTGTTTGAGCCTGTGGGCACCTTTGGGATTCTGACACAGGGCAGTGGGCACAATCACCAAATGGCTACTGCAGGATGTGGAGCAGGCCCGTAGCTAACATGGGGCCCACGGGGCCTGGCCCCCTTGTGTTTCTTCTGAGCCCCCTCCCTCCAGGGCTGCCCCTAAAGTGCTCCAACTTACCACCTGCACTGTACTTCCATTTAATTAGCTGGCGCCCCCCCAAGGCCCCCTCCCAAAGAATTCCCTAGCTACGGGGCTGATGTGGAGCCACCCGGAAAATGCCCGGGAGGGGGGGCTCGCTATATAACCCTCATGGTGCCTCTCCAGGCCGAAGCTCCACCCAACAGGATGCCTTCCAGTCTGCACAGCCAATCAGAAGCCCTGCTGGGCACGAGCCCCACCTGACCCCTCCCCCTTTCTAGAAGCACTTGGCGGGTGCCAGGAAAGGCTTTGGTGGGCGCCATGGTGCCTACAGGCGGCAGATTGGGGACTTCTGGTCAATGTTTCCTCTAAGGCGTGCAGTCTCGTGAGCAGAAATTTTGCCCTGTGAGCCAAACGTGAGCGGGCCGACATTTTTGAAAATTTTTTTATTTCAGTGTACAAATATACAAAACATACAGACATAACATATAACGATTATCATTTGGATTACAAGCCATATATTTATATTAAACGTATTTATATTTATATGGAACATATTTGTATTACTTATATGACTCAAATATTTTCTGAATAATTTATACATCATAGCCATAAAGCCCACCCTGCAAAGTGGTTGTTTTCTCTGTGGACTGGATACTGATCAGTCTGGAAGATCTCCAGGCCCCACCTGGAGATTGGCAACCTTAAGTGCAGGTTTATAGTTCTATTGTGTTCAGCTCATGAATGTTTGCTCAGGTGTGTTTCTGTTTTTTGTTAGCAAAGTCATCCTAGCCTCACGCCTTAGCCTTATCTCCCCCCCTTCTAATAATAAAGCATACACGTCCTCTGCCTGCCAACTCCAGAGTGATCAGCCATGGTATTTCTTTTTAATTAAGAGCCAACAGCAGGGAGAGAAGACAGCGAGAGTTGGTGGGGTAGCAGCCACAAGCTTGGGTGCTAGCCAGTTGCGGGTGTCCCCTGGGGAGGAAGAGCCTGGGGCTGGCCGCAGGAGGCCCCCCTCTCCATGACTGAAGCAGGGAAAAGAGGAGTTAAGGGGGGGGGGAG